AGAACGACCCGAGTCGGGTAGCTCGGTTACCACATGCCCAAAAATATACTCAACAAGGGTACATCAGACAACCCTAATTCATCACAAACTTCTCTAAGATCCCTGGTGTCCCGGTTGGTGACCTTTTAGCCCCTGATTTTCTCTTCCGGTTTCAGAATGGCATTGAAATCCCCAAGGACCATCCAAGGCAAGGAGATCCTCCCCCGAGCAGCCCTAAGGTCATTCCATAACAATTTCCGATCTCCTATCATGTGGAGTCCATATATTAGGCTAGCAATAAACGAGTGGTTGCTAACCTTACAATGGACCTTCGCAATTATGACTTGAGGCAAGGTGGCCTCCACCGTGATGTCGACCTTCGTGGGGTTCCATAGTAGTGATATACGCCCACGGTTAATAACATCAAAATTCTCACAAAATTCCCAACCCGACAATCTTCTATCCACAAAGAGAGCAAGCCGCCTAGCATCGGTTTTCGTTTCCAAAAGACCCAAAATGTCTATGTTATTTCTTCGGATGAGGTTGATCACCTCATCTTGTTTTAGGGGCCCATTAAAGCCTCTAATGTTCCATGAGGCGACAATCATTGAGAAGAGGAAGGGTTGCCCTTTTTCTTCACAATAGTTCTCTTACCCCCTTCATTTCTCCCACCCGGTTTGCCTCTTAATTTGGAATGTTGACCTGAAGTTGCGGTAGATTGGCTCGCGGCACCACTTCGAGTGAGTATCTTGTTGCGCTTACCTACTGCTTGGAAGGTGTCGTCCTCATTATCCAGATGAGCGGTAATGGTTCGGGAGGAGGAGGAAGAGGTGTCCGTAGCGGTGGTCACCGCCTCTTTCCTTTTTACATACTCCTCTTGCTCTTCGTTTGGGTCATCCCCTTTCTTTTGTTTTTCCTCCATATCATCCCTCTCCTTAGGTTTAGCCTTGTCGCCTCCTATGTTGGGTTGCTCCGTTTTCTTTGATTGGTATTCTACCACTCTATTGGTGGCCATCGAACCCTCTTTCATTTGATCATCTTTGTTTTGCTTGTCATTCAGGACCTCCGCCCTTGTGGTAATGTTTTTCTCCCCTTGCTCGATGTTGGTGCTCCTCACTTTGTCTGCTTGTTTCACTTTTTGATGTTCTATCGCTTTCTTGGTTGTTATGGATGCCACTTCTTCGGTCAGTTTCTTTCCCTCGGCCTTTTTCTCAAGGTGGGCTTTATTTTTCCGTCACAAGGCGTGTAGAATATGGAGCAGCAGAGAGATGGGTAACCATGAAGAGATGACTTTCAAAGGGGATAGGCTGCCATAAGTGCAAGAATGTGGACGCAACTAATTTTGGGAAGAAATAGGGCAAGGTGAACTTACAATAGTTATGGAAGATATAAGCGGCTCATTGCACGTCTAGTAAAGTAGTAAGATCCGAGATTATATCCATTCTGTTTTAGAGTGAGGAGCCTTGAGAGTTGTTTGAGGGAATCATTTTTTAAATATTAATTTAATTTTATTTGAGTGGAGAAGGGAGTTTGTTCTCGATGTCTTTGAGCATATTTTATACTTTGAAATAGTGTACATATTCAGAAGAAACACTTAGAACAATATGATATTCGTATTGTGAAAATTCACAAGATTGTGGTCGGGAAAGTAGTTGTATATATAGGCCATTACATTGTAGGTTTAGAAGAGGGATTTTTTGTTGTAATTCCTTAATAAAATGGGCTAAACACCTGTATATATGAAAGAGTTCCAAAGAGAGAGCAGGATGTTATCATGAAAGTTCAAGTTTTGTAGCATCTTGTTTCTGCAATTGAGTGAACATTCATCTATGTTTACTGGTACTTATTAGTAGTGCCATCATGGTATATCTCTCCAAAATTTC